TAATATATATGTAATAAAAAATTAGGAATTGACAAAAATACACACACATAATAAAACTATTGAATTTTACATATTTGGATTTTTCAGGAATTTTCATTTTTTCATTTTTATATATTTTTTCTCCGGTCCGATTTGATTTTAAACCGCAATTAAAATGTTTTTGACCAGTTTGGTTTGATTCAAAACCATTTCGTTGACGGGTCACGTGGCACCAAATCGACGGTTTCTAAAATGCGATTTCGATTCGATTTTCCGGTTTAGTGATTTTTGCTTACAACCCTAATCACTGTCTCGCGAACGGGGATCACAATTGTTCAGCCTTTGCATAGTGCATTTTAATGGCCTCCGTAGGATCCAAAACACCAGCACACTGGCTTCCAACAACATTAATTCCAACCATTCCCTTTTTTGGCCGTTACCTGACACGAGATTATGAGCTTGTTTGCTAAGCTTAAAATTGAATTAAAATTAAAAATATAACCGTTATTGGGTCTCACTCGCCTAATAAAAGTCAACAATAACAGCTAATTTTTCAATTTTAATCCGATTTTAATCTCTACCGAACACGCCCTAAAACTTTTTGTACGTTGCATCTCTAAATATACTGTAAAAGGCCGCACTTCACCTTTCCTTTGACGGTTGGATTGTGTGCCCATATAATATAGTTTTACTAGTGTAAAAATAACAATATTCTTATATTAAATAAAAATATTTTTTATTTCATTTATTATATTTATTTAATCATTGAGCATGCGAGCCTATGATCACTTATGATAGTATAAGTTGGGTACTTGCGTTGAGAAGTACAGTGTGACACGGCTTATATTTTGATCATAAATAATTTGTTAATTGTCTATGTGTAAGGGTTACACATTGTATTGAAAGGTAATAGTATTGTCCGATTCACTATTCGTGTTTGTAATTTGTCCTTATCATAGAAAAAGTTAAATGCGACATTAATACGCTTGAAGTGTATTGTACGGACCACGTGTCGAATTTAATTAGCATGACCGTGCGAAAAATTAAATTTCACTTGACCACTGTGTATGTCATCTAAATTCCTTGACAGAATTATGTATATCTTTGTTGTGATTTTAATGGTTCTTCAATTTATCAATAAGTGAGATCAATTTGATTAGTCAAATATCTTGATGAGTTGGAAACTTGAGAATGACCGAAGTAGAGAACACGAATTCGTGTTGGGAATCGTCATCCTAAAAAATAGGTAGAGTGACTACTTAAATATTTTTTGTTGAACGGTTAAAACCTAAGCTCAATATTTAACGACGACTAAATTTTGACATATGTGATTTGTTCACAAGATCGTTAAAAAAAGGTATTTAGGTTAGAGAATAATTAGAGGGGCAAAACAGTCATTTCTGCCCGTACCTAATTATCGAATCTCGGATGGGGATAAAATACACATACGGCAAGTTAGAGGAAAGTATTACAGATTTATTGACTTATGTGATCTTATATATTCCGAGAGTTCAATTTTTTGCTTTTAGTGGAAAATGCAAAGACTAATAATTGATTTAGTGATCTAGGGTCGACTAGACGTGATCTAATTATTAGAGCTTGGAAAATATATGTCTGATTAGGTCAATGTAGTAGCTCTATAAAGTAATTGAACTTAATCACGGCAATTATAATAGTTTTGGACTTAATNTTAATCACGGCAATTATAATAGTTTTGGACTTAATTGTAATTACAATAAAATTTTGTACTTATTTGTAATTAATATAAAAGTTGTAAACTTATTTATAATTGTAATTTAAGTTCTATGACTACATATGTAATTAAATATAAACTAATTTGATTTGGATTTTAATTAAAACTCCTATTTGATATTGGAATTATAATTCTACATGGATTGGGACATCTTTTATCTCTATAAATGGATATTAGATGGGCATAAAAATCATACAACAATTATAATATATAATTTCATAGTGTTCAAATTTGGAGAGATGGAAAAGTGAGAAAAATAATATTTGCTTATTGTCCAATTCAAAAATTAATTTTTTTATTTGATTAAAAGAATGTGTCCACCCACTGGTATAGTCTCAACTTTGGAGAATATCATAAAAAATTTGGAGGTTTGAAGCATCAAATTCTTGCAATTAAAAGATTGGAAACTCGTGATTCAAAATGTTGAAAATTCGTGATTCAGATCTAATTCTAGAATTGATTGTCGAATTTAGGTAAAAATTTGAATCCCTAATTCTTGTTATAACATAAACGTGAACATTTAGATGATTTTGTTTATTGAATTAAAGATTTTTTTTAAATTTCTGGATAATTTCGCTTCCACGTTCCCACAA